TATGATGAGGGTAGCTACTGTTACCACCCTGGAGTTGATTATTTTCCTATAGCAGCATGTCCCAAAGTATTTTATTCCTTTTATACCACTGTAATTTTCCAACGATTACAATTTTTATTCATTAGGCCCCCGAGTATTGTCAGGAAATCGCAACTTTGCATCCCTACATCGTCACAGCCATCCAAGAGAGCAAAATTGTCCATGCTCTCTGAATGGGAGGGAAGCAGATGGTTACACAGAAACCGCAAAGTCCGCTGTCCTGAAGACTTTGATAGTTACAACTTGCTGACACTGGAGACTCCTTCCATAAATGCAAAATAAATGTTTCCTCACAGAAAACATCACCATATTAACAATTATATATACATTTTTAAAAAAATTTTGGTGGAGAGTCCAGCATACAAGTTCCTGTGAATGATCTGTTACTATAGAAACGATAATGTAGTAGAACCACCACATGAATATAAACATGCGATTTGCCTTCACGGAGCTGCTTTTATATAAAACAAAATCAAAACCATCTGAACAAACGGATTTGAGAATTCAACAGCACTGTGGTATTATTATTATTATTATTATTATTATTATTATTATTATTATTAAGTCTTACCCTCTAGTCCACCACATCTGGGTCTACTCTTACAGTCTACTCCTTTAGAACAGTTTTAAGATCAGTCATCCATGACACATGACCAAACCTTGGCCCCTGTTTCTGGATTACTATGTGGCTAGTTGCTGACAGGCGCAGTCGCTGTGATTTTCTGCTTTCGGATGATGCAGGAGATCCGATGTGAGGCTGCAGGAAACTAGGGTTTCATATTCAGTGCTGGAGGCGGGATGGAAAGTCCAGCAGAATGCCAAGATCTGCCAAACGGGGGACTGCAGGACTCAAGGGGAAGGAGGAGAACTCCCTGAGCTGTGACACTCCATAATTAAGACTTGATGGCTCCCACAGAGCGCAAGTATGTGGAAAGAGATTTCTAGAGAACACTCCAGCATTTTTTAACCTAATCTCTAACTACTGCATCTGTGTGAGCACAGACACTAATAAAGTCACTAATAATGGAGGTGTAGCCACATTTTTGGAATGCTCTTGTTGAAAATGTATATATAATATGTAAGGAATAAAACACTTGTTTTAGGAAAATAATCAGTGACGGGATGTTGTGATGCGGCCCGATGCAAAGCAGTTATCATTACCACCCCAAAGTCATTTATTTTTTTCCCTGTTCTCAGTCCTGAAGACTTTCCTGTGGTGGAAAACTTACTGACACCGGAGACTCCTTTCATACAGTATATACTGTATGAAAGTATATACTGTATATACTGTATGTTAAATAAATGTTTCCTTGCAGAAAGCTTCACATTACCAACAATTATGTGTTTTCTAGGTCTGAAAACTCCACCGATAAAACATCACCACAAATTCTTCACTCTGAAAGAATATGCATCAAAATTCTTGTCTGTGGCAATCTACAGATGTGATAGAAATCGGGTTGAAAAACGCTCGAGCATCCTCTAACTTGAATCTGAACTGAGGAAAATGCTGCTCTGACGTGTTCTCCGGCTCCACAGCCTCATCCTAATTCCCGTCACTAAAGCCTCGGGCCTTCGGAACACCGGAATCTTTGTAACCCAATGCAACAGTTTGTTCCATGCCTGTGCTAGTCAAATATGCACTGGGATTCATTTCATCCACGTCGGACTCAACTTGCCAAGTCCAGATAGCAGCCCACTTCCTCCCAATTCAGACGTCCATACAGAGTGACATACTGCAGCTTGTAGGCAAAGTTTACACCAAGAGCTGCTTTTTGTTGTTGTCTCTGTAGTGTACAGGGTGTAAACCGGAGGCCCAGCTCATTCATTCCATTCGGTGTGAGAACCCAAAGCAGACTCGGGCCAATAATGAGATCACTCTCAATGCCTGACCACTCCTCTCACTGGGAACAGATGGACGACATCGGACTGGGATCGGACAGGATGTGCACTCTGACTTGGTTAAGGACGAGCTGAAATCAAAACTGGTCTTTTTGTCTGCATGCTTCATCAATCGCTTAAAAGAAACCTCTTGTATTTTTCCCATCATTGTGCAATGACATCACCAGGCACGCATTCACCTTTCCCTACCTCCAGGTATCAAACAAATGCCAAGCTAGCCCGTTTCACTCAAAAATATCTCACCTTACAAAAGAAAAATGCAGCATTATTTCTATTTCACATTATTTTTAATAAAGGTAGTGCAGAATATTAGGGCAAACTATTGAATTCTGATCTACACAGGTTTTATCACTGACTGACATCTAATGCATATGTGAATTACATTTAACATTATAGAATGCCTTAGCTTCAAAAGAGTGTGTTGCATGCAAGGATTTTGTGGAAAAACTAAAACTAATAAACCTAGGTTATGAAGCATTTACATAATAAGGCAAGTAAACGTATGCTTTATTTTAGAGCTGCATATCGTGACTGTGAGATCCCATGCACTGATCAGTCCTTTATGGTTGACCCAAATTATTTAGACCAAAAGATTTCCAGTTGAGAATGCCGACACCGTACTGAGATTAACAAACTGAATTTGTCAGAATGTTTTTAGCATAGTGTATGTTTTTGTAATATATTGCAATAAGATCAATTATAGTCACAATAGTGTTAATTATAGATTCCTAGTTTTTATGTTAATACTAGACAGCACCGGTGTTGCCAACTTTTAGACCTCTTTAGCAGCAAATTGAGCGGAAGCTGTTAGCCGTTAGCAAATGTCCTGCACTTGATACGGTTCTTCAGCTCAAATCACAGCTGCTAGTTATACAAGTTGAGAGAGCAGGTTCACTCAACTCACCATCCGTGTGTAAAGACCAAGTTGCTCTTGCATGAGATGATGTTCCAACGACCAATCACCGATCACCTTTGTTCCCAACGACCAACCACTGATCACCACAGTCCCTAACAACCAACCACTGATCACTGTTGTTCTCCATGTCCAATCAGTGATCACTGATCTCCATTACTCCCAACATCCAATCACTGATCACCTTTGTTCTCAGCAACCAGTGATTACAGTTTTTCCCCAATGACCAATCACTGATCGCCATTACTACCAGTGACCACTCACTGATCACCAACGTTTGTTTCTATAAGAAATGTTATTTTATATTCTGATAAAATTATTATTGTTATTATTATAATACGTTAATTCAGAAAATCTTCCTACTTCATGCAACACGTGTTAATATGCAAATGACCACGACGAGCCTATGAATATGCAAATTAGTTGTGTGACGTTGCTGGAGATGTCCAGCGACTTTTTGCGTATGCATTAGCTCCTTTTGCAACACAGTACTGCACCAAACCACTGATCATGAAGCAAACTACCCATGATTGCAAAATATCCTTACTGAAATTACTTGCCTCCAATCAAGCTACATTTATGCAGCATAATCTCTCTCTAAGAAAAAAAAATAAAGAGCTCAAAACCTGAATGACTGCAGGAAAATGTCTGAATATTATGATAGTGTATTAGTTTATTTTAGATAGATATTAAATCGCCATATTTCATTTTATGCTTCAACAAACATCTGAATAGCATGCTTAAAAATCAAAACTAATCCTTTTATCTTGTTGAATGGATGCAGGGCTGAATACTTAGCCCTTAATTTGAGAAAACAGTCACATTATAAGTGAAACCGCGAATCAACAAGTGATTTAAGTTAGTTAGCTAGCTAGCTTTAAAAAGCTACAAATCCTGTAAATCCGATTAGCCTTCTTTTCCACACTTAATTTTCAGCAAATATGGTAAATACGCTTCACCAAAGTGAATATTTTGGTCGTAACCAAGCCAAAACATTCACCCAGAAGTCATGTATGCAAACTCTACGGCGTAAGTGTTAGCCACTTGAGCTAATCTAACGGCTAAAGAAGGCTGCGTCCAAAATCGCATACTAGCGCACTGAATAGTATGCAAGAAAAAAAAACAAATAGAACGCCACTATAATGTGACGCTGTAGTCTGCCGTACTGTTTAGTATGCTAGTGTTCGGACCCGAACTCATAACTGGTACTGCACTGATTGAATGAACGCTTAACTAACAAGAAGGAAAGAACGGGAAATGTTTTGGGGAAAACGTTTGAAACTTACCAAACCATCCCGTAAGCGCCTTCGCCTATGTAGGACAGGTTGGTGTACCGTGGCCCGACGTCGAAGGCCTGCCCGCGGACCAGCTCGGCTCCGGATCCGGGATTGGGGCCGCCGCCGCCGGCAGCAGCAGCGCCACACACCGCCGCTGCAGCTGCTGCTGCTGTCGACATGGCTTGGGGAAAGAAATAATAATAAAACTAAATAAATACAAACTTCCCTCACACAAAGCGCACGACACACACTGAGACCCCCCCGGTGTTAACAGAGCAGAGTCCCAGATTTTTCCCAGAATGTATTCCCGAGTTTGAACGAGCTGCTCTTCCGGCGAGTTAAAAAAGAAAAATGGCTGTAAAGGAGGAAAAAGTGTGTTTGTGCGGGTGCGCGCGCGCGCGTCTCTGTCCGTGTGTGTGTGTGTGTGTGTGTGTGAGCTGACATGCAGTGAAAACGACGGAGACTGCAGACGGAGCTTGTGAGCGGAGCGCGAGCTAAACCGCTGCGGCAGGAAATAACGGGGGGGAGGTCACGTGATCCCCGAGCAGCATTCAGCAGCACTGCTTGGAGTGTGAAGGACTGCAGCTCGTACAGGATCCAGTGTCTATAGTGGGGAAAAAAACATAAAATAAACATAAAAGATGGAGGCGTTGGATAAGGAGTATTTACTGTATATCTGGGCATTATAGGTGCTGATCTCTCCACCGCATCACAACACTTAAGTCAAGTTTATCCAGCAGCCAATCATGTGGCAGGAACGCAATGCATAAAATCATGCAGATTAACTGAGGTCAAGAGCTTCAGTTAATCTTCACATCAAATATCAGAATGAAGAAAAAAATGGCATGGTTGCAGCAGGTGTGAGTGTACAAGGCAGTGGTGGCTGGTTGGTTAAGGCTCTGACTTACTACTCAGAAGGTCAGGGGTTCAAGCCCCAGCACTGCCAAGCTGCTACTATTGGGCCCTTGAGCAAGGCCCTTAACTACATCTGCTCTAGGGGTGTAGTATCATGGCTGGCTCTGACCCCAGCAAGTGACATGTAGCCAAGTTTGGTGACCCATAGTCGGAATTTGCGCTCTGCATTTAACCCATCCAAGTGTGCGTGCGGAGACACAGTTGAATCTAATCTAATGTCAGAAAGTGCTGATCTGGCATTTTCACACACATAACAGTCTCTAAAGTTTACACAGAATGGTGCGAAAAACAAAAAACATCCAGTTCCGCAGGCGGGCGATGAAAACCTCAGAGAAGAATGGCAAGAATGGTTCAAGCTGACAGCACTAATAGTATTATCATGTTTTCCTACACCACCAGCCAACCTTATGAGTATACTCAAGTGCTAGTATTATTTTTAATTAACCACAATATAGTATTTATAAGTTAGATATATAGAAGGTGGAAAAATTCGGATGCAGTAGGATACGCAAGGTTCCCTAAACGCTCAATGGAAATGAACTTGAAACACTTAATATCGGCTAAATGTTTTGCACGATGTGGTATGCTACGTTATATTAGACTTCTTGACCTGGTTCGCATCCAACATTTTGCTTCTGAAGCTGTAGGAGAGAAACCAATGTCTGTAGCCTAATATAATGTAATATATCATAATCATATCAGAATTATAACAGTCCTAAACCCAGTTTGGTTTGTTCCTCTGGGAGAACAAGTAAAGGTAGAGCTTTAAAACACACTGCTTTCCTTTCAGAAAAGGTTTCAAGTAGAGTGTTTATTTGAAAGGTTTTTCTTAAAGTTTCTGTGTGTAATTTTTAACCGGCACTACCACTGCCAGTTAAACCGAGCCCAACAACTGCATCATTAACACAGGGCCAGAATTCTGTATTTGTACATTACCAGGTGTTAATAATTGCTTAGGTTATGTCGACTGACACCAGACCCATCAGTAATTAAAGGAAACAATCACAGTTTACTGGCACAGGTACTTCCTGGTGAGTGTTTTCTTTTTTTTTTTTTTACTTTACACATTTACACTACTAGGTAGGTCTTAAAATATTTTCAGTATAGTCAATTATTTATCTTCAGTAAAGTCCAGTGGGTTTGGAGCCTACCCTGGGAACACAGCATAGAGCGGGGACACGCCCTAGACGGGACACCATTCCTTTTGCACACACTCATTCACATCTAGGGGTCATTAATGTAGCCAGTTCACCTAGCGGCATGTTTTTAGGATGTGGGAGGAAATTGGAGAACCCAGAGGAAACCCACATGGACACTGGGAGAACATGCAAAACTCCAAACACTAAGTAGCCCAAGGTCAGGATCAAACCAAGGACCTTGGAGCTGTGAGACGACGTACCTTTTAATATTAGTTTCTCCACCGACTCTTTACAGAACCACATCAATTTCCCAGAGCTCACTGAAGTCATGTCCTATCAACGTTGGCTTCTAACTTTATAACTGATCATCTAAATCTTCTCCCCATTAACACTGCATTTCAACCAGCGTACAATTTAGAATTATATTTCTCATAATTATCTGGGTAGTAGGCTATAAATACTTCTGTTCACCTTGAATCGTAGTTGTAAGAAGAGAAGGAAAAGAAATGAACATGTTTATTCAAGTATATTTGGAAGATATCATGAGTAGAAGGTGAGAATGTACAGTAAGTGTAAAATATCTGGCCATGTTCGACTTGCACTAATTATTTTTAACCACCAATTACATTAAACAACCTTGAAACATGATGGCCGCCTACAGCAGCTGTTACATAAGGAATTATGGAAAATTGCAACAAATGAGACATGAAACAAAACATGTGGTTATTGTTTATTTAATATCCCGACTGATTAGATTTCAACTCTCGTGTTACTGAATGCAAATGAAGTGCAGATGTAATACTTTCCAGGAAAAGGTTTCCAAAATATATCCACTGACTTTTCCATACAGAAACCTGAATCCATTCTAAATGACCAATGTTATCATTAAACATGACATATAAAAACAGCATGGAATCAAAGTTATTCATCAGTATAAAGTAGAAAAGTTTATAAACCATTTAAACAGGCACAACAGCATGTAGAAAAGTTCAAGTGGAATAAACAAGTTGATCAGTTGAGTAGATGTGAAAAGAAACAGTTTGCGTGTATTGGCAGTGTTCGTGTTACAACAAAATAAGGCACTAAAGTGTGAGATATGTGTTACACATGGGTTAAGTGTTCTGGATTCACGTCCTCTAAGAAGAAAAAAAAACCAAAACAACAGCTACAAGCTACTAGTTTCCTTTGGAACGCTGCGTTCAGTCAATAGTGAACATTTTCAAATGTCAAAATTAGTTTCAGCATCAGAAAGTGAGTCACCATGGGGTTTTTCAATGGTAATAAAACTCCGAATCCATGATGTTCAATATGATACACGTTAACTCTGCTCAAAAACGATTTACATGAGAGGAGACAAAATGCGACCAACTGCAAAAAAGTGTGTTTTGATGATGCACACGACAACACTACATACCAGTAAACCAGGATATTAGTTTTATCTAAACCTGTCTGATTACATCGCCAGTGAAGTCATGAAAGCATTACTACTCTGATCAGAAATGTGAGATCAGACAGATTAAGTTCCCACATTATGCAAGTGGCACACAATGACTGTAAAGACTAACAGCAGAGAGATAACTGATAGCCAAATTAAAGCAGGTCGAAGTCAAATGCACACACTCCTGATCAATCTGGGGCTTTTCAACATCATGACACACAGCAAGAAAGCACCCAACATTATCCGAACTTTCAGACACGTATTTAACAGGATCTAAGAAGATTCGGCTGTAATGTTACAAAATAACGTTTCCGAAATGTTCTGAAAACGACAGACTTTGCACGATAACGATGAACTTCACAAAGTTTACAGTTAGACAGAAACCAACTAACATTAGTTGACTAAAAATGCTGCGGGAACATTTCAAAATGTTCTCAGGAAACTTGTTCCAGAAATCAAAAGCTCTTAAGATGATAGTGGTGCAGCAGAAGAGCGTTTGAATAATTGTCTAACCATGAGCTAACTATCCACGAGCTCATGTATGCAGAAGAGGGCAGACTGCACTTTCCTCTGAATGTGTTATGCTGCCCTGTGATGCATCATGAGCTGCAGTTTGAAAAGACGCTGTTGGCTGGTTTCACATGTCTCAGAAGCATGTGCTAGTCTTCACCCCTTCCCAGTTGGTAGCTGTCGTAAGATAGGAGAGAGCTGGCTGGCGGGTGGGAATTGGCAGGTGAGCAAATTGGGGATAAAAATGGGGGAAAATTCAAAAAAAAAAAAAACCCAAAAAAACCAAAAAAAAACAAACAAACAAACAAACACCACATATATGCTGATAGTATGCAGGAATCTACAGAGTGAGCTAGAAAGAAAATCAGCCCCAGAGTCACTTCTTTATACCATTCAGTGTATTTTTCTTACGACCATTAGTGATGCTGTTGCTCTTGGTTCCAAAAGAATCCAAAATATTTCGCTTTAAGACATTCGTTAACAGGAAATAATCTGGTGTGGATGCCAAAAATGAAAACCTCTATCCATGTCTTTCTATCTTTGAAAGACAAGAGAGGTTAGCCCTGCTAGTCCATTTATACCAGTAACCATGGCAACCATGATGTCACTACTGAGACAGATACAAGATCATTTAAGTCAGTTATTCACATACAAAATGCAGATTTTGTACAGAATTGTTAGTTTTAAAAAGGAGTAAATAAAAAATAAAAATAAAAAAAAACCCACACACATCACTCCAAAATGTCCAATCTTTGTTGCGAATTGCATGCTAGGCAAAAGAGCAACTCTAAAGAAACATTTCTGAGGCAGGTAGAAGATAATGTAAGCCAGCTATTCCCAGTCATACACAAGATTGTTAAAACACATTAAAAATGTTAATGTGAAATGTGAAAGAATCACCGCACGTCAATGTCCTCAGCATTTTCTATACACCAAATCACTAAATCAACACTTTCTCTCTATATAGTTAGCTCTATTCTTAGCCTGCTCGCGTTAAAGCCACGGTCCAGTCATATTAGCTTCATGTCACAAGGCTTTCAAATATTCATGACATGTGAACGGGCGGTAACATGAGACGGCCCAGTGCATGCAGGACCTGTGGCCTGACAGCAAGCCGGCCTGGCTGCAAGTTTCCCCAAAACACAAACACACAAACATTAAACTAGTGTTTGGAGGAACCAACATGCTTGGAGGAGCAGTTTTTCCAGGCTTGGACTCAAAAGTCTGTCTCAGTCTGGAATTAGGATTAATTGACGCCTGGAAAACTGATCTACACGACACGTAAATCACGATCGACACTGTGTTCAGTGAGAAAAAGGATTAACGGTGTAGTCTGTAATGTTTAGAAGGGTTTCTAGGCCTGTAATAAATCACACAGTTTCAAAAATACTTTCAGAAAGCTATATTTTTTGATAGGGATTTGCAATATTGTTGCATAATAGATTTGGCTGTTTTTTTTTTTTGTTTTTTTTTTCCAAAATTCGAGAAGCTTGTTACATTTTTCTGGTCCTGAAATTCGCTCTTCCACTTTACTTTAAAAGGAACCACAGAAAATACATATAGATTTTACAGAGGAAGTGGCTATTATTGCTGCAACTGCAGTTCAGCTCACAGGCAGATAAAAGCTCTAAAAATTACAAACTGCTCCTTTAAGTTAAATATATTAATTATATACATACACACTGAAGGAGATCACATACACAAAGAACTCCTGGTTAAGTTAGATGTTTTTTGGCACTGAAAGGCTGCTAACAGTTCATGTCATCAACAAATGCATATTAAAAACTTTTTTTTTTTTTAATTAAAATGCAAAAAACACTGACTGATGTTCTTAAGAAGACAAAACTGACTGTGCATTTTAGCTTCAAAGCATGATACTTTGACCAATACAGACTGGTGTGCCCTATAATGTTATACTGCGTCGTAACAGCTATAAATAAACGT